ATGCCGAGCCAGCTTGAGGCTGCAATGGATGCACTGATAGCAGTGTTTCACCACTACTCTGGACACGAAGGAGACAAATACAAGCTCAACAAGGGCGAGTTGAAGGAACTACTGAACAGTGAGCTCAATGACTTCATCACGGTAACGTAGACTTTTCAGCTTGATTAGTTTGGCTTAATGATTATTCATTTAAATTGGAGGTTTTCAGAAACTGAAGTGAATTTTACGTCTCCCTGTATTTTCTCAAATGATCTATAATGACTAATTGTGAAAGCTCTTCACCGCTGCGTAGGATGCTCTGCTGTTGCCTCCCTCACTTAAAAGTGAGCCTTGTTTTCAGGGTTTCCCCCTGTTAAAGTGCAGCTGTTGCTAGTGCTCACATCGTAGCACTGTAGGAAATGGAAGATAAGCTTCAGGTCATTAGAAATGAGCTCCAGCCCCTGAGTTGGTGTGATAGCAGGGTTTACAAGCCTGCAATTTCAAATGATTGAGACTGACCTCAACAAAACACTGATGCCTTCAAACATTTTTTTCCCATTTCTCGTCCTCATTCATTTGGATAGGAAGCTTCAGGTGCTCGCACATCATCAGTGGCCCATATAGACGCCCCCCATGATGTCACTACAGCCCGTGGGGCTGTAGTCACCTCTGGGAGTCGGCACTGCTCCAGAGAGACTGCAGAGGAAAAACAAAGGCTCAGTCCAATGGTGTTTGTTTTAGAAATGAGGGGTGTGATGTTAAAAATGAAGGCAGGGACACTGTGACTGGGGCCCCTTCATTTACATTTAAATTCAGTTTCAATTTGGCCTTTAATTTGCAATTGTAGACTTATTTATAGACTGTTTAGTCTCTAACAAATCTAGTACAGAAACAATCTGAGAAGCGTAGGAGTCCAAAGATAACATGTATGAAGGTGGTAGTGTTAATAAGGTAATAGTGTTGAACTTTAAAATTAAATGTAGGAGTAAGTGTTAAATTTTTGTCTTACTGTGGTTTCTCAAAATTTGAAGTCAGTTTTCATTTTATACAAACGTGTCTCTCAAACAAAGGCAAAACATCGTTTTATTACATATAACATAGTTTTATTTTTGACAGGTTATGTCACCACTCCACTCTGAAATAGGGTCGTGCTAGAAAGGACAAGGTGTGAAAGTCAGATTTAGTTGTTTTGAAGTCATGATATGAACTTCTTCCCTGGTAAGATGTGCAGGAAATTACTTTTTTATGCCTCCACACCAGCGATTAGATGTGGCTGGTATGTTTTCAGGTTGTTCGTCCCATTCTTGTGAACCCTGTCAGAACGCCTGGAGGTAATTTCTTCAAATTTGGCAGAAGTGTAAGTATCTGCATTGGACTCGAGGATGAACTGATTAGATCTCGGTGGTTAAGGTCATGTCGGTCCCATTCCTGTGAATTTAACTGGGTGGTGAAGGTGTAATTCTAGCGTTTGAGTTGTGTATTGTCAACTTTTATTCAAACAGTGTAGCTTAGAGTATTTTGACAAATGCAGCAGTACTGTGGTGTTTTCCTATCAAAGGATTTTAATTTCAATCTTTGCTCCAGTGTTGATTTTCATAAGTGTGGTCTCCTTTCTCAGTCCTGGAGTAAATGAGCAAAGCAATAAGTATGTGTGTGATTAGCAGCAGCATCACTTTCCACTGGACATGGATGGCAGCTTTTGCCTTAAGTCAACTTTAAGTTCTAATATCAATCAAATAACAGTGCATGTTATCATCCTACATGGATGGACAGAGTGTTCTTGTATCACCTGGTGTCAGAATTGTATTCTCGTTTGGTTGTTTGGTTTTCAGTCTCAGAAGGATCCAATGCTGGTGGAGAAAATCATGAACGACCTGGATTCGAACAAAGACAACGAGGTGGATTTCAATGAGTTTGTTGTGCTGGTGGCCGCCCTGACCGTTGCCTGCAATGACTTCTTCCAAGACCAGAAGAAGAAATCCAAGTAGACATCTACAGAAAACACCTGTAAACTTCTAACACTTTAAGATTTAAAATGTCATTGTGTTAAATGTCTTGGGAGTTAAATCATTAGTGTGTCCCAGGGTTTAGGATTGTGCTTGTGGTATTTGTGAATGTAGACGGTGTCTTTGTCACAAATCAAAGAAATGTAGGTTTTCAGCCTGGAGCTGTTTAACAGTGATCTCTCATTGAGATTCTCTAATCCAGATTATAGCCATTTTTATATTAGAATGGTGTTGTTTGTCGTTTATGAAGTCGTCTTACTCCAAACTTGAGCAAATTACTATTAAACCTCTTTTTGTCAGTGGGGAATAAAACATAACATGGTCATTGTCGCATTTTAAAAAGGCACATTTTGTCATTTTAAAGATGTTTGTTTTGTTTTTTTTTTCCCAGCAGACATCTCGGCTGAGACTCTCTGTGGTTTTAAGTGTTAAATATTTTTCTTTGGAGGTGTTGCCGTCTCTGTACCCTAAAGAATTGCTTTCTTCCACATGCTGTTGCAGAATTGGTCATGGAAAAATGCCAGATCTCTTGGGAAAGAGCCATGGATTGAGAGTGGGTACTGTAACATCTAGTGCTTTTTAAATGTGTTGTGTGCTGCATGAGAGATATTAGATTTAAATCTGACCACCAGTTTGAATTTGAGCATTGACTTTAATACCACAACTTGTATGGCAAAATGAAGCACAAGTGACTGAATGTAAAAACTAAATAAAGCACTATCGTGTGGAAGCTGGAACATGTGGATGTTTATTTACTCAGTGCAAACAGCGTTTACCAAAAGCAATATGTTTCTGAATGTGTATTTTAGCACACATGGTGGATAAATGATTTGGGTACAAGAACCAATGTATACTGTAAGAAAGTCCCACTCTCAAAACTTAAACCTCTAATTTTAAGTATCAAAATCTAAAAGGACATGTTCTACAAGGAAAAAAGTCTCTAAAGCCAGTTTTAAATGCATTAAATTGGGTAGTGTGACCCTTAATGGTTCCCAATCTAGGGCCCCACTAAGGGTCACAAGATCCAAAGGACTGTGACAATTTGTTAAAAGTTGCAACAAAAATTGAGTATAATTAAGCTTCATTGCACCATATTTAAACTAAGCCATTAAATTTTTTTTTGGGGGGGGGGCTGCTAACTAATGGGCATGTGACAAGGGGCCTTAAGTAGACTTTGTGTTCTTACAAGCCAAAGTCAAGTCACTGTTTATGTAAAAATCTAGCTGGAGCAGAGTAATTTAATGGAGTAGCATAAAAATAACAAAGTAATTTAATTCCAGCACAGAACCTGAGTAAATTTGCTTTCTGTGTGTGTGACACAGTGTCTCCTTCAGCTTTCTCTCACTGCACATTTCACAAGGAGAGGCTGTGCTTTTGGGAAACAACAGAGTACCATGTCTCTGACGCACGGTGACCCCAGTACGCATAGACCACCTGGGTCTAGCAACGCTGGCCAATCACACAGACACGTGTTCCCCTTGAGCAGAGATGCTAATGCCCTCACCTTGGAAAGGACAGAAGTGCAGGCTGGAGCTATGTTTTCTAAGGGTTTTCCTCTGCACGTCCCTTGTCCCAAAATATCAAACCAGACGGTTAATTTGCGATGACATTCTCAGCTGTGACGTGGAGGGAAATTACTGAAACAAAACACAGTGGCAAGTGTGATGCTTTTATGTGCACAGATGGTGCTTGCACAAGCCCTCACTGTTACAATGCAGTTTGTCTGTGATTGGCTGTAATGGAGCAGGATAATCACCCAGTCTCCCATAGCAAGACGCCATGCAGTAATTAGGGTTTTTGTTCAATTTTTAAAAGGTTGTAATCAATTACAAGTGTCATTTGACCATTTTTAAATGCGGATATTTATATTCTATGATTGGCCTCCACTTCCACACGCGTTCTTCAAAATGTTCATGGAAATGTCTTTTATTTCCTGTGAGCATGAACCGAGAATGCTTTTCCTACAGATTGTAAAGTTGGAATCGTGACCATGTCTGATGGTTTCCTGTATCAGTAAAATCATGACGTGCGGTTTGTGTGGGCAAAAAATTAGTGGCAATCAAGAAAAGCTTAAAACAAACACGTTTGCACCTGAAGTGCATGTGCGACTCTTCAGTTTCCATCTGGTCACAGTGTTACATCTGTCAGCTTTCATCTAGAAGCAAACATAAATAAATTGACATACACACATTAAGCAGATTTTTTTGGCAGTATCAGAAATAAAATATAAGACCAGAGAGAGAGAAAATGAGGGGTATAATAAGACCAGAGAGAGAGAAAATGAGGGAAGACTTGGGGCAAAAAGACAATTGTGACAGCTGAAGTAGAAATGATGAGGTCCAGGTATTTTTATCACCTGTAAGAAAATTAAGCTGGGATATGTAGGACGGCTGAAATAACTGGAGAAAGGTTGGTGAAGAAAATGAGAGCAGGAATCAGAGGAAAGAATAAAATATGACACAAAACCCATTGCCCGAAAGACCACAGATGGACCACGAGGTCAAAACAAGTCTTCTGTGTTAACAGACATACAGTTCGCACATAGAGATTTCTGTAGATTTAAAGGTTTGATTGATTGATTTTATTTTTTTAAGCATGTAAAGACAGTCGATATGTCAACACACATAATTTTACACATATCCACAAATGCTAATCCAATATCAATTTGCTTATACCTAGTACATGCTTGAACGGAGTAGGAAGAAGTTAGACTTATCTAGTCCTACCCCATGACATCATCTTACCATCATTGGTTTGCAAGCAGTATCTCTACATAGATAATTTTGTTCTACACCGTGTAAGTAATATACTAAAAAATTATAACAGAGTGTTAACATTCTTACATAATTACATTCTTAAATACTTATCTTCTACACCACACAAGTAATATACTAAAGAATTATTACAGAGTGTTAACATTCATACCCCACACCCACAATGTTCCATCTAATTAATCATTAAGCCTGTTCTTGCATATATCTTGATTGACAAATACCTTTATATTTATGTTTAAACTTGTCAATTCTATTACTATTTTTTATGTCCACACTTAAATTATTCCATAGTTTTACCCCACTTATGGAAATACA